AACCCTTTCCAGGATGAATCTGTTTGTTTTCCTAGCAGTCCATGGTACCCTCAATACTCTTCTCCAGCACCACAGCTCAAACGCAGCAATTCTTCTATCCTCCTTGGTCATTGTCCAACTCTCTGATGCATAACAAGTGATTGCAAAGACCATGGCCTGTATCAGACGCACTCCAGAGAGACACCACAGTGCAAAATGTTCAAGCTGGGTTCAGAAGAAGCTTGTCAATAAAGCTATTATTGCTGATCTCAAATGGATCCTTACTGAACACAGACAACACCAGAAGGATGTCCAGTTGTGCTTTATTAACTATGCAAAGGCATTTGACTGTGCAGATATAACAAATTATGGCTAATGCTGAGAAGAATAGGAATTGCAGATCACTTAATTGTGCTAATACAAAATCTATACCTATATGAAGGAACTGTTATTTGAAGAGAATGAGGGAACATTGCATGGTTTAAAATAAAGAAATGTGTTTATCAGAGCTGTTTCCCTTCCCCATACCTATTCAAATGTGTAAGTTGAACAAATCATTCAAGAAGCTGGACTTTATGAAGACGAATGTGGAATAAGGATTGGACGAACAATTGACAATTGTGTTATGCAGATAGCACAACTTTGCTTGCTGAAAGTGAAGAGGATTTGAAGCACATGCTTCAGAACACCAAAGTCTACAGTCTTCAATATGAATTACATTTCAACATCAAGAAAACAAAAATACTTACCAGAGGTCTGATAGGTAACATTATGATAGATGGAGAAAACATTGAAGTTGTTAGCGATTTTTTTTACTTGCATCCACAATCAAGAACCTTGATACCAGCAGTCAAGAAATCAAAAGACATGCTATATATTGGAAAAGTCTGCTGTCGGGGACCTATCCAAAATGCTAAAGAGCAACAATGTTAATTTAATGACTAAAGTACACCTGATCTAAGCCATAGTTATTTCTATTACTTACTATAAAAAGTTGGAAAAGTTGCATCTGAAAGTTAGACAATGAATAGGGATGATAGAAGAATCTATACCTTTGGGTTGTGATATTGGAGAATAGTACTGAATATACCATGGGCTTTCAAAAGAACAAATAAATATATCCTGGACAAAGTACAATCAGGGTGCTCCTTAGAGGTAAGTATGATGAAACTTTGTCTCACATATTATGGGAATGCTGTTGGGAGAGGCTAGTCCTGGGGAAAAGACATCATGCTAAAAAAAAGAAAGAAAAAAGGGGATATTTTCAACAAGATAGATTGATACAGTGACTGAGTGTCGCAGGATAGGGCAAGGTTCTGATTTGTTATTCATAGAACTGCTATGAGTCATAGGAAACTCGACGGCACCTAACTGCGTAACAACAAATTTCTTCCAAGTGGCAGTGGTCAATGAATAAGTTGTAGTCTTATTTGATCTCTGAGAGAAGAAAATTCCATAAAATACCATCAGGGTTATACACAAACTCCATCATTTTATATTTTTTCCTTCTTAATAAACTATATGGAAGTAAAAAGAGACCACCTCTAGTCTCTTGCTATCAGCCTAAATGTCACAGAACATAGTTATCCTAGAAGTTAGTAAAATTAAAAAAAATCTAACAGAAATAATGAATTTGCATAAACACACAGCTGGAAAATAAGGAAACCCAGGAGTTGAGAGAAGCCTGAAGAATTTGAGATATGTAACTCAAATTTGGCACATAATGTACGCATGTACTATAAATGGAGGAAGCTCTGGCTTTAGCTTTTAAAAACTCACCATTTCTTATCCAATTATGCCTTTACAATGTAAAAGAATGCAAAGTAAGGGAGGAGAAAGGTCAACTTTTAAGTTAGAATGGATTACATTCTTAAAAAATGGATTGATTTTCAAAAACTAAATTGACTCAGCTTTTCCACATCATAGACATGGAACTTTTTTTGTGAATTTGTAAGACAAGAATAGCAGCTTTCCCTTTCATAACTAATACGTCAGTCACAATACAGAAAAATCAAATAATCCTGCACTTTTTCACATTCTACTAAACACTCTCGGGTTGAAGTTATTCATTTAAGCTGGGTGCCAACAAGTTATTGTGATATAATGGTCTTTATGATAGAGAAATTCTTCCATTTAAAACTTGGAATAAGTTGTTTTTTGATTAAATTTTTTTTACTTAAAACTTGGAATAATATTACTTGTTATTGGAATAAGTTATATTCTCACTTGATAATATTTTCCTTTTTATAGCCATTTTCTGAAAATTTTGAGTTGTGTCTTTGAAGGAATGCACTGCAAAACTCTTTCTTCCAGTTAACTGAGTACTTGGTGAAGGGAGAAGGAAGTATGAAGATGTATGACTGTATTTAGCATTACATTACAAGCAGCCAAGAAGCAGCACCTCAGATATTCTTCCTATGCCCTGAAAAAGTTCACAGTAGAAGACTCCCTGAAGAGTGAAAGTCTTAGAAAAAAATTAACTCTACCAAGTAAAACTGTTCTCAGAAAATTAAGACCTGAAAATTCGAGAGCATGATCCCATCACAAAAACAAACACACAAAAGAAACAGAAAAAATTTTAAAATATTAAATTATTTTTTTAACTCTATAAGTAAAACATTTAAAAAAACTTAATATAAATCCTGTTGATGTTGCTGTTATGTACCATAGAGTTGCTTGTGACTCATAGTGACCCTGTGTATGATAGCCCTATATCCTGCTCTATCCTGTGCCAATATTACTGTCTTTGACACAACTAAGCCTAGTAAGAACTTATTTCTTCAGTAGTTCAAAAACAATTTATGACATTATGTCCTTTCTCTTTTCTAACACATCATGATGAGCCTTACAAGAATCAGTGAAGAATCAAGCAAATTATTGGATTTAAATTGTCAAAGATGCTAAGAAGGAGATTTAAGAAAGTAGCTACAGAAAAACAGATCAAAATACAAGTTCAGGGCCATGTTAGCACTTGGGAGACCTGATGAGGGTAAACTACTGCTCAAATTTGTTGGGGGAGGATAAAACCAAAATTACAACATGATCTCAAAATTTCAATAGCTAGTAAACACTTTTTTTTGTAATTTGGAAAATTAAACCATCCATTTTCTCCTGTATGCAGATTGTTTTATTTGCTTAGGGTTTTTCTTATAATTTAAACTCTGGGGCAAGATTATGGCTCTTAGGTCACTAAGCATTCTAACTCAATATATTAGTGAGAAGAGCTAATGCTTTAAAATGCAAGCACGTCCTGTAAATGAAGGCATATGTGATGAAGCATCTCACTCTTCCTCCTTTAAGATTTCAAAGTATATTGAAGTAGTAGAAAATTCTTTACATTTTTTTCTAATACTTCCTCTATTGAATTAACCTCAACCCTTGTTAAACTTCTCATTAAAGAAACATTATTCTCTTCATAGATTTCATGCAAACCTAAGGCTGTGGCTATGTTATGGAAAAAAATCTATGGAGAAAATAAACACTTTATAAGACAAAACCAACCCAAGCAACTATTTCTAACAAAGCTAAGCAACGCTATGAGGCAAAATCTGCCCACTGAATACCAAGGAAGTTGTCCTCTTGATTTTTATCTACCTTTTTTTTTTTTCATTTCTAAACTGCTTGGTTAGATTCTTTCCTTTGACCTCCTACCCAGAGGCAAATTACCCCAGCTGCTGCCAGAAAAAGTGAATTCAGCCTTTCACCCAGCAGTCCACAGAACCCTGATGCCACTTTATTTCTCTAATAGAGTATGCTAATTTATCTATTTGAAGAAAATGAGACCTACAGCCTGGAGGGTAAATCTTTTAGACCCCGGAAGCAGAAAATATCCCTATTTCTTACTGAAGTTCAAGGAGTTTGGAAATGGGAGACTTCATGGTTTTATCTCTAAAAGCTGCTATGCACTCAGATTTAACTTTGGAACACACAAGACATGAAGTACCAAGAGGTAAAGGAACTTAAGAAGCTAGAAAAGTTGTCCATGAATCTGAGAGGACTTCCACCCGCACCCAGGGTGCATAGGGAGGATTCTGGACATTAGGGTTTGAAAATCAACAGGTAAACCAGGCCCCAACCTAGGAGAACTACAGATCTAGGGTGATTCTTTCTATGAACTTTACTGAGGAGTCCTAGAAGCAGTAGAAGTGTTAGAACATGAGGAGGGAGTATATAATAAAGAAATTAGACCTATTCTTACGGTCCTGGCTGGAGGGAGGGAACCAAAAAACAAATACCAAAAACATTTTCGAAGAGGCACTTACCGCAAGTCCCCATAAGGTCCGGAGTAGCCTTCCATCCAGGGACCCAGTTCGCTTTTGACACAGCTGGAACTTGGGTAGGGCACTCTGCTCACCACACTGCCTGGATACCACACATCGGGAGGGGGGAGGTCATTTTCCTGGCCCACCAGCCCCTGAAGTGGCCGAGTGTAACCATAGGGAACTATGGTCCCAGTCTCAAGGCCTGGGCCACTGCCACTGCCACCACCAAAAGGTCCATACAGTTGGCCTTCTTCAGCTGTGAAGAGTGTATGCCAAGAAGAAGATGAGGCAGCTGAGGGTGAACTGGATCCAGGTCCAGCTGCAACCCCACTGTGCAGGCTCCCTGAGTCACCATAGTGGCACTGTGCTGTAGCAGAAGCCCAGGAGGTGCTATAATCCAGGGAGTTCTCCAGCTTGATACGGGCATGGGAATGGTGGGGTGGCAGAGGAGGAGTTGGCCCAGCTAGGTTCAGTGGGAAATTGTAATAGTCTCGACTCTGGTATGCTGCTACCTCATCCAGTGCTCCAGACTTGCAAAGAGAGAGAGTGGAAGAAAAATCTAGCGTCCCAGAGCCCCCTGCTTCACCATTGTCAGAGCAGCCTAAATTCTCACCATCCAGTCCTTTGGTGTAACCTCCCTTGAAAAGGGAATATTCTGCAGTTTCTTCAGTGTCCTTTCCTGGGCCTTCCTCCAGTAGAGAACCTTTGCATTCAGCCAAAGGGGCACAAGGAGTAGGGTGTACAGTGAGTGGACCTCCCAGAAGTGAAGAGAACATGCAATCCCCTCGAAGGTGTTCCCCAGGACCCAGATGCTCCAATACCTCCACACCCAAGCCCATGGACACTGACACTGCCTTACACAGCTCCTTGGCATTGTCTGAGATGGTTGAAGAGGCCCCTAGGTAACTGTCCTTGGAGGAAGTGAGAGCCTCAATAGCCTCCCTTGCTCTCTCACTGCTGTTGCTTTCAGATATAGCCTTTTCCTCCTCCTGTCGCTTTTGCTGCTGCTGTTGTTGTTGTTGTTGCTGCTGCTGTTGTTGTTGTTGCTGCTGCTGCTGAAGGAGTTGCATGGTTCTAGTCTCACTAAGGATGTCTTTAAGCTCTGAGGAGCAGCTGCTTAAGCCTGGGAAAGTAGGGCCTAGTAGAGACAATGTGGATGGGATAGCTGAGTCATCCTCTGGAAGTGCAGGTGGCCTTGGCAATCTCTGACTAGAGGCAGCCAGGACTCGAGGCTCTGGGAGACAGGCGCTCCCAGGGTGGCTAAGGGAGGATGAGTGCTGTTGTGAAGGCGTCTGCTCCTCCTCCAAGACCAGGTAGCCCTTGAAACCTCTGTTCTGGCCTTGAGGAGAGCCATCTTCACCCAGTTGCTGCTGATGCGGGCTTATCACCTGCTGCTGGTGTTTCAAATGGGAGCCTAGAGGTGTTTCACTTGTGGCCTCAGGTTGCTGTGGGCCTGGATTCTGAATGACTTCACGCACACTCTGGAATAGGTTGTGGAAAGCTCCTCGATAGGTTTTGGAGGGTGGCCTGGGGTAGACCCTTCCAAGCCCTAACTGCACTTCCATTCTTGAGCCTGGTTAAATCTTTTACCTAATTCCTTTACTCTGCCTCCCCTTCTTTTGCTCCCAAGAGTTTAATAGACAGAGCGCAGTAGCCCTGCACCTAGCTGCACACCTGCAGGAAGCTCTTTGGAAGAAAACTTGCTGGAGCAACCACGCAAAATAGCTCTGGCTGCCTCAAAATCTTGTCTAGAGGAAAATACACGCTGGATACGATTTGTCCTGCTAGGCTCACAGCCTTATCAAATTTTGAGGGGAAAGGTGAAAAGAAAAGAAAACCCCTTCCCTTCCAAAGTCACTGTTCACCGAAGCAGATGCAAATAAGAATCAGTTTTGGTTTTGTTCTGGGGGATTTTTGTTTGTTTGTTTGGTTGGTTGGTTGGTTGACTTTAGTTTTGGTTTGTTTTTGCTTCTAATGTCCTGACTGCCTTTTCATCATTTGAACTCTGGTCCTACAATCTGCTGATGAAGAGGCAAGGGAATTGGGGAGTTAGGGAACCAACAGACCTGCCTCTAATGCCGCCTAACCAGTAGGGTTTGCTGCAATGCTGAAGCTGGTGCCTGGACGTCTGAATCTCAAATCTGTCTTTATTATGTGCAGCTAGCTAGCCCAATGAAAACCAAAAGGAGATACCTCTCTTCAAACTCTAGCTGGCAACGCTGTGAACGTTGCGCTGGAAGAGGAGCTGGCATTGGGGGTTGGGGGGTAGGGGAGAAAAACCACAAAGGCAGCAGCAAAGAAAAGAGGTGGGAAGGGTGGCGGGGTGGAGGGGTGAAGGGAAGGGGGACAAAGACAATCGTCAGTCCTACCCGACCCTTTTCTGGCTTCCTCCGAGTCTCTGGTAGCTTATAAAAACTTCACCGAAGAGGAAAATGCAGCTCCGTGGTGGCAGCTTCTAAACCGCCCTACTGACGAAGGCGATGGTTGCCGCTGGAACCAAGCTGGCGCGGTATGTCTTAGGTTTCTATTCCACACCAGGGTGACTAGCTCTGTTGCTTCTCTTTCTTCGTTTCCTCAGCCTCCAGGTTTGCTCCAGATCCTCTGGCTCTCTCTGCAATCTGGCTCAGCAGATCTTAGAGCGGGCGCAAGGAGGTGGAGAGTAAAAGCAACAGTTTGCTACTCGATCCCGCCCCCGCTGGGCCGGCCTCCCATGCTTCCCACCTCCTCTTTTTCTCTCCTCCCTTTTCCTTTTCTGTCCTCCTTTACAAAGGCTGGGTGGTTTTGGAGAAACAAGAGCTAGTGCAGCTTAGGTAAGAGTGGCTTTCCCTAATCAGGGAGAACTCCTGCTCCCAAAATGCCCTCTGCTGTCTTAGATCATAGTTTAAGGGACTTGGGTTGAAGCTGGTACTTTATTTGACAAAATTCTACAAGAGCTAACAGAAACACTTGTCAGATTTTGTTCCAAAACCTAATTTCAAAACACACCACATGTAGAGGGAATGGGGAAGAGTAGATCAGAGTGGGGGTGGAGAGTTGGGGGGATGGGACATGAAAAGAGCCTACAGAAGTACTAGTTTCTAATGGCTTCGAGGGTCTCTAATCACTGACTGGGACAGGCAGACCAGAAATGGCTCCTGCAAAAAAGGAAAGGAGCAAGCTGTGGCCAATCCTATTAATATGTCCAATGTGATTTCTCCTTAGCAGTAGATTGAAACTAATAGCAGAGTACTAATTTCTCTAGGGGCCCTAGGCCCAAGAATCAGAGCTTTATTGCCTTCCATTCGTCCTCTCTGGAAATGCTTGGAAGCATTGAGTTCTCACCTTTTCCAAGCTGTGTTTACATATTTTAAGCTTGGGAACACCACTGTCCAAATAATGAAACCTACATAAGACTGCTCTTTTTGTTGGACAGTCATAAATGTAGATTGATGTGAGGTACTTACTGCAGCTAATCATTTATGGAGTCACAAACTGCCTCCTCTTGGCCCTTGGCTCCTGGATAAATATGGAAAGAGAGATGACAAGGGAAGGATAAAGGATATGGTAGGGTTTCAGGAATAGACATATAAGAAACTGAGACTTTTTTTTTATGCTGACAACCACTTATAATACTTCCCAACTTTTAAATTCCTTAAATTTCATATTCTATGGATATGAACAGGGTCTGTTTGTAGTAGAAGAGAGATGGGTCTCCCCTCCCCCCAGTTCTCTTCTTTTGCCAAAAGGGAGAAGGTTGTGCCCAATATGGGCACAACCAAGAATTAAGAGTATTTATTACCCAAGCCAAATGAGATAATTCAGGCCTAGAGTAAGAGGAGCAGAGACATGACTAGTTTTATTTGGCAGATGAAGAAGCAGAAGCAAAGATGTTGGTCTGTGTTTCACATTAAATTAAATAAGATTCACTACCAGTTGAGAGAGCTCAGGTAGCGTAGAGGTAAGAAGACATGCTATAATCCAGAAGGCATGCAATTCAAATCCACCAGCTGCTCCAAAGGAAAATGGACAATATCCTATGTTATTTACTACCTCAGAAAATCTGCTGGGTTGGCTCCAACTTGAAAGCACACACAACAATGACAACACTCCCAGTTGAATTGGTTGCTACTCATAAAGACCTGCCATTGGGTTTTCAAGGCTGTAAATCACAATAAGGGGAAATTGTCCATCTTTCTCCAGTGCTGGTGGGTTCTAATCACTGGAGAGATTAGTTTTGAGTTAGCAGTGCAACTCTCTAGATGCTATGACACTAGAACTCCCTAATGTTTCACAGAGTTGTTGGGGTTTTTGTTGTTGTTGTGATGTGTCTGTCATATTAGCAGAACATAAACTAGTCTTCCATCTCATTGTTATTTTAGCTAGATTTGTCAATCTCATGGACACTTATAGAAGGGTTATAAATTAACCTGTCAGAACACAAAAACCCATCTAAACAGGCTTAACTTCTTTGAAGGGGGTGGGGGAATAGTACTTCCTGGGACTTGAATGACTGCAGCCTTGCCTAGACATACCATACTTTCAGTTTTGGTGAGGAATCTCATAGATCACATCTTATAGTTAAGAAGTAACTTTATTCATAGAGATGTCCATTAAACTGACATATGTTATTGTTGTGCACTGTCGAGTCAGAACCAACCAATAACTGACCCTCCAGTGGGTTTTCAGAGACAGTTAATCACATTAGTACAAATTGCCCATCCTTCTTTCGCTCAGCTGCTGGTGGATTTGAACTGTATGCCTTTGAAACTAAAGTGCAATTTCTTACCATTAGGCCAAACTGACATATAGCAATTACAAATTTTAAAATTGAAATCCATAAATATCTTTTTTAAAACGTTATTTGAGTTGTTACTGTTGTTGTTGTTGTATACTGTAGGGTTGGAAGTGACCCATATCTGACCCTTGAAGGGATTTTCTTTCACAGGCAGTTAATCATACAGGAGGATATTGGCCATCCTTCTCCCATGGAGCAGCTGCTGTCCTTGAACCAGGTGCCTTTGGGATTGCAGCACAGCTTCTTACCACTTCAGTCCACAAATGCTTTGAAACACAGTTGCTCAAGTGGAATAGAATTGCTCAGAAGGAAAAAAAAATGTTTTACAGTCAGGAAAACAGTCCACAGACTAAGCAACTAATTTCTTCCTCTCTCTCAGTCTAAGTTCCTTGACATGTGCTATGAGAGGATAAAGTAATAGTTGAGTCAATTGATATTTTAGGTTCCATTCATAACTGATAATTTATAGTGCTGTCCTGACTTTAATTTTCTTATTTACAGTCAGTAAAGGGTATGTCATGAAAGCTTTCTTTTTTTTCTCAGTTTCTTTCAATCAATTCTGATTCACAGTGACCCTATGTATTGCAAAATACAAATGAATTTTGTAGAAGTTTCAAGGCTGTGACTTTTCAGAAACAAGTTACCAGCTCTTTTGCCCAAGATTCTTGTGAGTGGGTCATAACTGGCAACATTTCAATCAACGGTCAAATCCTTAACAATTTGCATTACCTGTTATTCTTTGTTTTCATGATAAGGAAACTGAAGAAAATTTTGGTGCTGCGGAACTAATACACACTTTGGAATTATTCAGAGCTGAGTTTGAATGTCTATCACACTGCCATTTACTTAAAAAGTAACTTCAGGGAATTATATGTTACCTTAATTTTTTTTTCAGACCTCTTTGCTTCTAATTTTAATCTTACTATCAGAAAGCAACTTTGGCAATTGAAAGATAAAATGTATGTGGAACAACTTTGTAAACAGGAAATTTTAAAATTCTGATGGATTATTTTGTTGTCTTTTACTTTTATAGTAAAATATATGATAAAATATTGGACAATTTAATACTTTTTATTATGGAAGCATAGCTTATTTTATTATGTTTGGTGTTATTATTGCACTTTGTTTTATTGAACTTCAAAGATAAGCATGATACTTACAAATTGAAGGTTTGTGGCAACCCTGTGTCAAGTAAGTCTGAGAGCACAATTTTCCCAACAGTATACGCTCATTTCATGCCTCTTTATGATTTTTACAATATTTCATATTTTACATAATATACTTAATATGCTACATTATATTGTAACCATAACTATTGAACAGGTTTCTCTGTATGAGTTTAGACTGAACTCTTACAAAAATTATTACTTCAGTAGTGGCTGTATAAAAGACAGGAGAGGCAAAAAAACCCTGAAATGATGCATAAGAGAAACTGAAAACAACTATCCTTGAGATAAGTTTTGTAACAGTATACATAATGTCTAAGAAAAAAATTAAAAAGATAAAATAAATAATATGGAAAACAATGTTTTCTCCATCCCTCCCATCCCCTCAATTTATAGCTAAAAGATAGAGATTAAAATACTAGGGAGGAATAACAATATATAATAGTATTTGCTAAAATATTGTAATAAAGTATTTCATAAATTATTAATAATTATTGCCGATGAATGATTGTCTGAAAACCCCAATGAGATTTCTAAACTTTCATTTAAATAAAATAGATTTTTAAAAATACTAGGGAAATGTACTCTCTCTTTTAAAAATATGTATTTAATGTCTATATATCTA